CCCCGTGTCCGCCTAGTTCCTCTTCACTCTAGATGGATGCCTGCCTGCGGGCCTTTGCACTGGCCGTTCCCTCTGCCTGGAGTGTCCCTCCCCAGATGTGCACATGGCTAGTTCCCTCTCCTCCTTCCAGTCTGTGTTTGTCAAATGTCTTCTCTCCTCCAAGCACCCTGTGTAAATTGCACCCTGCCCATGCTCCTCACCCCAGTTCTCCCAATCTCCCTTATCCTAATCTGTTTATTTTGATAGCAATCAACACCTTCTATTCTGCTATGGAATTTACCAGTTTGCTATTAAACTTACTGTTTCTTGATTGCCCCACATTACAATATACTTTCAAAAAAGGCAGAAATTTTTATTTTCTTCTCCCTACTGCCTAAAATAGTGTTGGCCACACATGATAAACACCAAAAGCTAGTTCTTTGAAAGGAATAATAAACTCGATGTACTTTTGATAACAGAGTAAGAAAAAAAGGAGGAAGTCACAAGTAAACATTATAGAGAATTAAAAGGGGAAATAAATACAGTAGATTTTTTTTAAACCAAGAAAGAGCATGTTTATACCCACCCAAAAGTTAAAAATACAGATATTTTCCTAGAAAATGGATAATTTCCTAGAAAAATATAGCTTACTGAAACTTAGGCAAGAAAGAAAAAACAGAAAATCAAATGTAAAACTGTAGCATAAAGGAATTGAAACAGTAGTTTGAAATCTATTCATCAAAAAATTCTACCAGGCCAGTTTTACAGAGAAGTTCTACTGAACTGTCAATTCCCATCTTACACATATTGTTCCAGAGAATAGAAAAGGAGAGAGAGAATCCAAACTCCTTGTATGAAAATAGCCAAAATATCAAAACTAGACATGGACAGAAGGAGAAAGGAAAACTAAAGGTCAATTTCACTATTAAACACAGACATAAAAACTAGATAAAATGTCAACAAATCTAAACCCATCAAGGATAAAAAAAAAAGCAAAGATATGTCATGGCCAAGTAGGGTTTAATTCAAGGAATGAAAAGATGGTTTAACATTAGAAAATGTATTAATGTAATTCACGTATGAACAAACTAAAGAAAAAATATGCTCGTCTCAATGGCTTGTAGGGAAAAAAATGTAGAAATGCAGATGTAGGAAAAAAAATGACAAAATTTAATACCCAACATTCTTTAACATAAGAAACAGTATCTATCAAAAAGCCTATAGCAACGGTTATACCCGCTGGTGAAACATTAGCAGCATTCCATTCGGAACTGGGAACAGATGAGAATATCTGCCATCAGTGCTTCTATCAAATATTGTGCTGGAAGTTTTAGTCCTAGCCAGTGAAACAGACAATGAAATGAGATAAAAGTCATAAAGTTTGTAAAGGGGGATAAAAAATTGCCAATATTTGCAGATGATAGAATAAAACTGTCGATCATTTAACAGCATGGAACGTGGCACCGTGACTCATGCTCAGATACCCCCGTCCCCTCAACCACGGCTCCAACCAAAGAGTAATGACGAATGAATGTAAAAGGAGAGAGAGGAAAAAGCCAGACGATCTCACATGTAGAAATAATATCTCCATGATCACGAACGAGAAGGGAATTACAAAATGGTGCTGGGTTCTGGGTCTGGGAGAAGGCAGTGGTTGTAAGAATTCAGCTCTGTGATGTAAGTGGGCTCCCAAATTGCTCCATGTCGGGTGTGCAAGAGCCGCCCCAGGCCCGTCTGTGGCAGCCAGCGGTGGAGAGGGGCTCCCCAACTCGGGAAAGGAAGCCAACAATGAAAAACAGCTATTGACTTTTTATCTCGGGCTCCAGCTCCCTAGGGAGGCAGGATGGAGAGACAAGGCCTAACAGGAGCTGAGAGAACCCACCTGCCTGGAGGAGCGAGTCTAAAGATGAGAGGGGTGGGGGAGACACAGACAGATTGAGAGAGAAAGCCACAAACAAACTTTCCATTGGAAATTAAGATGAAACTAATCTATTGTGTTAGAAGTCAAGATAACAGGTATCTTCGGGGTGGTTAGTGATTAAGATGGGATACAGCGCATGGGTTTTAGGAACCTGGTAATGTTTTGTTTCTTGATCTGGATAATGGTTATACAGGTGAATTCACCCTGAAAATTCATTCATCTGTGTATCAATAATCATGTGCACTTTTCTGAATGTGTGTTGTACTTCAATAACAAGTTTACTTACAAAAAAAAGCCTGCAAACAAAATGTTTATATAAAGAAATCAAATGTTTACAAAGATAGTCAATGAAGCCAATAAGTGAATCACGAATTCATTCCAGGTAAAATAAGGCTTAAAAAACCTTTCACATAGACTTTGAAGTAAGTATGCTGAGCATTTACAAGTTTGAAAATAAACACAGCTTAAGATATTATGACATAAAAATAGGCATAAATGATAAAATAAGTTATATAAGAAAAAGCTAATTAGAAAATTGGAAATAAAATAATATAGTCTTTAAAATAAAAATTAATCAATACTATAGTGTCTAGTGCAGAAGTAAAAGAAACTTTCTTTTTCCTGCTTTTTCTCCTCAAATCCCCCTAGTACATAGTTGTATGTTTTTGTTGTAGGTCCTTCTAGTTGTGGCATGTGGGATGCCACCTCAACATGGCCTGATGAGTGGTGCCGTGTCTAAGCCCAGGATCCCAACCCAGCGAAACCCTGGGGCACCGAAGCGGAGTGCACAAACTTAACCACTTGGCCATGGGGCTGGGCCTAAAAGAAACTTTTTAATATGAAAATGCAGTTAAAAAGTACAGACAACGGATCAAGAGGCTCCAACATTTATCCAGTACCTATTCTCTAAAGGAAGAGAAGGGAGAAGAAACAATATTTTGAAAAGATAATTATTAAGAATTTTCCATAACTAAAAAAAGATAGTTCTCCAATCAAAAATTATACTCAGGGTAATGAGCAAGATAAAAAATAAATAAATCTATACTAGACAGATTACAGTGTAACTGCCGATCTTCAAGGCTAAAAAAGATATTCTTAAAAATTTTCAGTGCCGGCCTGTGACCGACTAGTTAAGTTCTCACGCTCCACTTCACAGCCTGGGGTTTCGCAGGTTTGGATCCTGGGCGCAGACATGACACTGCTTGTCAGGGCATGCTGAGGCAGCGTCCACATGCCACAACTAGAGGGACCCACAACTAAAAATATGCAACTATGCACTGGGGGGATTTGGGGAGAAAAAGCAGGGGAAAAAAAAAAGATTGGCAACAGTTGTTAGCTCAGGTGCCAATCTTTTAAAAAAAAAACTTCAGAAAAACGCATTGGAAAACAAAAGAAATGGGTAATTTTCTAGGAAAATATAATTTACTGAAACTGAGTCAAGAAGAAATTAGAAAACTGAAATAAACCTACTAGCATCAAAAACTTGATCAAGAGTCTTATCTGGCCCTAGAATACACTAGAGGCACATGGTTTTATTTGAGAACTCCACCAAACCTTTAAAGTACAGATAATCTTTATCTTATATAAACTGTTTCATAGGATAAAAACTTATTTTATGAGGTTATAATAATCGTAGTGTCAAAACCGGATAAGGGCAATACAAGAAAGAAAATGAGAGAGAAGTTTCATTTGTGAATATATATGCAAAATAATACATGTAAAAATATACAAAAATAAAAATAAACATTGGCAAATAAAATTCAACATTGTATTTAAAAAAATACACCATGACCAAAGGATTTGTCCCTGGTGATCTTAATCCTATTGGGCTAGCCCTTAGGGTTTAGAAGAAAATGTGATAGATTATCTGTATAGGAAGATTCCTTAAACAAGACACCAGAAGCAGAAATCACGATAAAAAATAAGAATGAAGGCAACAATGTAATATTATCTTACCTATCAGCTTTACATTATGAAAAACAGTGGATACTACAAAGTGTTGATGGAGAGGTGGAGAAACAGTCATGCTCACATATTGATAAACAGTTGTAACTTCTTTGCAGGGTAGTTTTTCTCACATCCATCGAAAATGTGTAAGATATAAATGCTGTCCATCTAGTATATAGCTTATAAACAGCCGTTTAAAAAAAAACAAGAGGACTCTGGACCTTGATATGGAAGGATTTCACACACACACACACACACACACACACAAACATATTTTTACATATATATAACGAGGTTATTTTATAGACACACACACACACACATACACAAGTAAATGATTGAGTCAGGAGAAAGTACATGTGAAGCTAAGCAGCAGCTTTTAAAAGCCACCCATTGGTGCAGGCAGTGAGTACACTCATGCACAGAGCCCTGTGGAGCAGGGAGGGGCTGCTGAGGAGAGGAACGAAGGGTTACAGAGGAGGTACGAATCATGGACGCCCTCCTGGAAGATGGGAAGAACAGAAACAAACAAAAAGGTGGTATGAGCAACTCCAGGCAGAAGGAATAACACATGCTAAAGCCGGGGAAGGAGTATTCAGTGTCTTGAGGAGATGACAGAAAAGCAGTCTTCCTCTGGGAGCAGAGGGTTGGGAGCTGTCCCAGGGTGGGGCCCTGCTGTGGGAGGGGGCTCTTCACCAGTCAGAGAACCTCAATGCCACGGGAGGGTTTAGATTTGCTATATTAAGCAAGTGGGCATGGCGGGTAGGGTTTTACCCAGGAAAAGGTAGAATGCAAATGGCATCTGAGGGAAGTTCTTCTAACGGTCATCCGTGGTTAGCAGGGGCTAGCTGTCACAGCCCAGCCCAGAGGGATGAGAAACCTGAACTTGAACTGGGTTGGCAAGATGAGAAAGGACATCTAACAACCTCAGTGACAAAATCGTTGTTAGTTTGGAAACTTTCAATTTTAAAATTAAATATATCTTGGGATAGTGGATGTTTACAAGATGAAAATGAATCGTATTTTGGAATTAATCAAATTTTACTTTCTTGCATTCATCCTGGCTTGTGCAAGGTGAAAAGAAGTAATGAGTAATGAGTAAAACGACTACGGGAAGTTCAATTTTTGTCACTTGAGAAAGAGCCCTGATTATCATCATTCCCATTATGATTGTAGGGTTTTTTTTTTTCCCTCTTTTAAATTCATCTCAGCAGAGGGCTTTTAGGGGACCTTCCAAAGGTTAGCACTGCATAATAGATGGTTTGAGAAATAGAATCGCCAACTGAAAGAAGTTCCGCCCAAGGCCCCAGCCTCCGACTTACCTGCACTTCCAACACGGAGCCACAGAAGGAGGCCCCACGCCCAGCAGCACCTCTCCCAGAGGCCTGGGGACATCGCTGAGCCGGAAGGCTCAGAGCTCGGGGCAGGGTGACCCCTTAATGCCAGAGAGCTCACAGAGCCCAGCCTCTCAGAGTTTTGAAGACCAAACACCCACCCACACTAATCATTAACTGGCCTCATGACCTGTGAAAGAAAAATAAACTCTCCCTATTTGCTTAACCTCTGCAGTTTTTCAGTTTCTTCTTCTCAGTGAAAATAAATACTTTTTTCTTTCTTTCTTTTTTTTTTTTTTTTTTAAAGCAAGGAACACTGAAACACATTGTCCTTCCTCTGAGCCAAACATCATCAGGAAACTATTTCCTGCACCTCTCCCACTTCCCATTATAAAATGTTAGTAAAAACCAAGGCAGAAGTCTTTCTTCTCTAGGTGGTCACAAAACCCGCATTGTACTGGAATCATCTAGGGACGTGTTTGTCTCCCTAGGAAGACTCTGCACACTGCCCAAGTGCCACTGTCCCCAGGAAGGAGAGTGGCAGTAGAGAGGGCACTCCTGAAGGTTGTTCTGTTGTCAGAGACCAAGCCAGGTGTATCAGTCCAGGTCCTTGGAGATGAGATGCCAAGATGGGACCAGATGTGACATTTATTGGAGATCATACTGTGGAGACTAAGTGGAGCAGAAAAAGGCAGGGAGAGCCTCTAGAACATGGGGCGGGTCTGACACCTGTGAAGGAAAGAAAATGCACAGGGAAGAGTCTCGGACTGCCCCACAGTTCCTAGAATGTTCTGGCCGGGGTGAGGAGGAATCCTCAAGCTGAAGTCTACTGTTAACACAGTCCAGTGTCTTACAGGAATGAGCCTATTAGCAGTTCCACCCTACCCAGTCTCAGAGCAAAGACAAGGGGCAATCCAGAAGGGCTGCAGCTGGAACCATCAGTCTATTAGGTTCCCCACAGCAGGAGACTGAGGGCTGCATGTTCACACCCACCCCACCATGGCCAGAGCTGCAAAACCAAGCCAGTTATTCCAGCACAGGGCTCCTTGTGTGTGGCGTTGGTATAGCTGACATTTAGAGAGTACTTTCCCTTTCACATTCATCATTAGTACGGTGCTCTCCAAATGAGGTTGGAGCTGACCCGTGCAGGACCACCTGCCTCAGAATCACCCAGGGCGCCTGGGACAGACTGCTGGACCCAACCCAGACACACCGAATGAGAATAGGGGGTTGGTCCCAGGACTCTGAAGTTCCCACTGGCTCCTCCGATGGCTGTACTCATGCTAGAACCATCACTCTTCTGTTAAATCTTACTATAGCCATCTCCATGTTACCAGCAAGGAAACTGAAACTCAGAAAGGCCAGTAGCCCCCACTGCTTGGGGGTGCCAAGGAAGTGGGGTCCTCTTGGAAAGTGAGGCAATGTATTTTAGAAGGTGAGGATAGAGACCTTTCTACCAGGAGACACTGAGGGAACACCAAATTATATTGTGTACCTGGTCTGTCTCCCCCAAGGAGAGAGTCAGCCTCAGGAGGGCCAAATTCTGGTTTGGTTTGTTCACTGAGGTCTCCCCAGCACCAAGCACCGTGCCTGCCACATAGCTGGTGCTCAACGGTTGTTTGCTAAGAGAGGGCATGGCCCATCTAGTAGAGTGTGCTCATTTAGAGAGGACAGGGCAAAGGGGGCTGGTCCCAAGTTGGCACTTAGCCCCCATTGTGAAGTGGACTCAGACGGTTTCACCTGCCTAGGACCCAGGTGCACAGGGAGGCAAGTGAGAGACCAAACACGCAGTGTGCAGTACCCACTGCCCACTGCTCATGGCTCCATGCCGTGTCCTCATGTGTAAAGCGGTGCCTGCTGTATAACAGATGCTCGCTAAATATTTGTTTTGAAAGAAAGAGAGAGGAGAGGAAGAGAAGGAAGAGGAGGGGAAGAGAGAGGAGAGGAAGACCTATAGGCACACCCCTATAACCCAGTGAACCCCTTTCAGCCATTCTTATCTGTCTATTCCCAGATCAGATTCCCAACTTCTTGCTCACCTTCTTTCAGGATCCCTAGCTGACAGTTCCATAAGTGGATATGCCTTTATTTATTCGTGTGTGTGTATGTAACTGCTGTCTTCAGTGTGGTGGGGGAGGGTGAGGTTGGGAGTGATAGGGACATAAATGAGTCTTAGGAAATAATAATTCTAGGATTCACCAGCTTATAACTACAAAATGAGGTCACATTAATTTTTTAAAGCATGTTTTTAATAGTTCTACATGTACGTGGGTTTTTAAAAGATCAATCAAAAATTTTTAATTAAAAAAATTGTCAACATTTTCTTGCATATCCCTCTAGAGATATTCTGTCTGATCCCTTTTGAGCTTTTTACACGCTTGTTGACTCACTATGCAAACCCTTCTGCACCTTGCTTTTCACACTAAACGAGGTGCTTTGCACCTGCCTCATTCTTTTTTTAAAGTTGCATAGAATCCCACTAAATAGAACATCACATGAAATTTTAACGCCCAGTCCAAAATTGCTCAAGCCCCTATCCTACCCGCTTTTCAGGAAGTCCAATCTATTGCCAGCTTCCTTTCCCATTTGAGGTGAAGAGCACAATTTTGGAGCCTCCACGCCTGATACTCTATATGTACTGCACGTATACACATGTGCACCCACAGGCACACACACACACACGCTTTCTCAGAAGGCCCAATTACACAGTAATTACCATGTTCCTGCAACAGGAAAAAACTGTATACCTTCAGAGAGTGCCTGCCTCCCGGTGTCCTGGATTCAGTGCTGGTATTATGGAATAAAGGACACCAGAAAGTCCGTCTCACCCCAAAACGTTGCCTCCACTAGAGCAGTCTTCAGTGGAAATCATCCTACTGGAGATTCATTTGTTTGCACAAGGTCATGTTTCCCAATTTCACTCATTCAGGTTCCACCTTCCTGCTCCTGCCACATCCCCTCACCGCCTGTGCCAATACGTATTTCAAGTTTTCATTTCTATAACTTCCACCTGCCGGCATTGACAGTGGGGGATGGTTGTCCATATACCATCCGAAATGACAGGAAACACTGGTTTGAAGCATGGCCCTCTATTCTATCCATAGCTCAGGAGATCAGGGGAAACCAAAGGGTTCTTCCTTTGATTCTGTCCTCATCTTCAGATAACCCCATTTTAGACTCACATTCTTTGGAAGTTATAGTCGAAAGTCCATGGGCTCCAAGCCCAGAGACCCTGAGAGGGGGCACTTGCCTGAGACCACCCAGCTAGTACAGATGATGACATCAAGACCCACAAGGGTGAAGTAGGAAACTTAAGAGGGCCAGGTGTAACCAAGCACAGTGCGGAGAAGTCCAGATCATGGCCCAGGCGTTGGGTGGGGTCTCCTTGGTGGCAGAGGAAGAGGAGGGTCTCTGAGGAAGGAAGGGAGGAGAGTGAAGACACTGTCCATTTCACCGTTTTGGCCAGGCTCAGCTCTGCCCCCTCCCTACCCTCATCCTCAAATGTGGACCTCAAACCCACGACTAGCTTTCCTCTTGATTTCGCCTCACAGTTGTGGGAAGCTGGAGAAGGCATAGGCTGCTGCCATCACCATCTCACTCCTGGGTTTCACTTTGGTATCGCCTAAGGAAAAATTTTCTAATTATAGCTAACAAATTCGAGTGTAGTAGAACGTGTGCAAAGAAAAAAGGCTTTGGAGACAAACAGTCCTGGGTCTAAACCCCAGCCCCATCTCATCCCAGCCATGTGACTTTGGACGGGTGGCACTTCTTTAAGCCTAAACTGTCCATCTGTTAACAGGCTGTGGTGAACTGCCTGACACATGGCAGCTCCTTCTTCCTCCTCTTCTTTTTTCTTCCTCAAATGGAAAGAGTCTCACCTGCTCCCTAGATGTCGCTTTTTCCAACCCCCAAGCCCCACAGATGAAAAGGTGGCGGCAAGGTTGTCTCCCATGATCTGTCTCATTGATCCCTGGATCCTTCACCAGATCCCAGCAGCCATTCCCTGAGGAGCCAATTCAGTAGGCTGGTTGATTGTGAAATCATCAGTCTCCATTCCTTCCCCCATGCCCCCAGGAGCTCTGTGGCTGTTAAAAAAAAGATGCATGTTTACTCCCCCTGGAGAGAGAGAGAAAAGAGTGAATGGAGAATGTGGTGGTTGAAGAAGCTTGGAACAGGGTGGACGAGGCCAATGCTAATTTTGCAGGTCTTAAAAAAATAAATATTGCCAAGACTTTTAGACAACATCTAGCAATCTTAGGTAACAAAGAAAGCAAACGAAGCACCATCACATAACAGCTCAAAAAAAATATCACTAATCCCTGTAATGCTACTCTGACCTATTCTGTTTTTCAGCGCACATATATTAACTTAGCAACCATGACAAATTCGTATTGTGTGTCAGATCATTTTTGTTAGTTTACCCTAACATGGTACATATAATTAAGTTTATTATCTCTTTCCTCTGTTAATTCTCATCCTCTCTCCTCTCTCTCTCCTCCCCTTCCCCAACCCCACACTAGCTCCCAGTCAGATGGCAGAGACCATGAGCCCAGATGCAAGTGGATACGTAGAAGTGGCAATGGGAGTGTGCAAGGGTTCTCTTCTGACTGCGTCTATTTTCTCAGAGAACCAGGAAGCAAGGTTTCCAATTGAGAGTAAAATTTGGGGAGGAGGTTTTGAAGTTTGAGAAAATGGAATCTAAAAGTCTCAACTCTTTTCGAAGTGTGCCTGTGATGAAGAGTGACAATTTGCAAAGCAAGTACAGTAATAGGATCTCTAACGAGTCTTTCTCTGTTGTCTCCAACTATGGCTAAAATCCTACATCAGAAAACAACAAATGCTCAATCCCCACCCTCCTAACCCCCGTGCCCCCCGCCTCCCCTCCACCAACACGTTACAGAGCCTGGAAGGACTTGGGAAGAAATCCCTGTAGGCCTCACGAGGAGATAGCAGAACTGCTCTGTTATCAGACCTCCCGTCCCCTCCTCCATCAGCTGAAAACCAGGGCTTTGAAGGGAAAATCATGAGAGTCAGAGTTCTCAAAGGGTTCTTCTCTTTCTGGAAAGAGGAGGGAAGGTGGTGCTCTTCCTTACCCCTCACAAGCCAAATGAGGGAGGGCCCACCAGCTGACATGATGGTGGCCACATGAAGGTGACAGAGTCATCTATTTCCAAGGTGGATGTCTGCTGGGCAGCCAGATGTGTCCTCAGGGCCTATTTCAGAGGAATGGGGGGAAATGTAAAGACAGCGGTGGAGGGGCAACCTGCACTCCCGGTGGTGGATGTGATGAGGAAGGACGAGTTTCCCTCGGGCTGAGTGGACCCCTCAGAAGACAGCTGGCTTGAGCCTTTCCCGCTCGTGTTCCACCGGTGAAGACGGTTTCAAGGCAATGCTGGAGAGGAACAAAGAACCCCAGAAGAGGAGAGGAGGAATGAAAGACATCCATGTCCCCATTTTTCTTGTAAGCCCTTGAGCCCAGGACTGACTGTGGTGGGGAGGAAGGAGCGCATGACATTAAAATTTTGGAATTGATTAAACTGGACTTGGATTCCCACTTCTGGGTATACATCCAAAGGAAATGAAAACAGGATCTTGAAGAGATACCTGCATTCCATGTTCACGGCAGCATTATTCACAACAGCCAAGACACGGAAACAACCTCAGTGTCTGTCAACAGCTGGATGCATAAAGATGTGATGTATATATACACAATGGAATAGTACTCAGCCATGAGAAAGAAGGAAATCCTCCCATTTGCCACACTGTGGATGGACATTGAGGGCATTATGCTAAGTGAGATAAGCCAGATAGAGAAACACAAACACCGCAAAGTATCATTTATATGTGGAATCTATTTTCAAAAAAACAGTCAAACTCATAGAAACAGACAGTAGAAAAGTAGTTGCCAGGGGCTGGGGAGTGGGGAAAATAGGGAGAGGTTGGCAAAAAGGTACAGACTCAGCTGTAAGATGAATAAGGTCTGAGGATCTGATGTACACCATGGTGACTAGAGTTGATAACACTGTATTATATAACTGGAATATGCTAAAAGAGTAGAACTTAAATGCTATCATCAAAAAAACATATCTGTGAGGTGACGGAGGTGTTAAATAACTAGGTGGAGAGCACCCTTTCACAATGTACACGTCTATCAAATCACTACAATGTACACGTCTATCAAATCACTACAACGTACACGTCTATCAAATCACTACAACGTACACGTCTATCAAATCACTACAACGTACACGTCTATCAAATCACTACAACGTACACGTCTATCAAATCACTACAACGTACACGTCTATCAAATCACTACAACGTACACGTCTATCAAATCACTACAACGTACACGTCTATCAAATCACTACAACGTACACGTCTATCAAATCACTACAACGTACACGTCTATCAAATCACTACAACGTACACGTCTATCAAATCACTACAACGTACACGTCTATCAAATCACTACAACGTACACGTCTATCAAATCACTACAACGTACACGTCTATCAAATCACTACAACGTACACGTCTATCAAATCACTACAACGTACACGTCTATCAAATCACTACAACGTACACGTCTATCAAATCACTACAACGTACACGTCTATCAAATCACTACAACGTACACGTCTATCAAATCACTACAACGTACACGTCTATCAAATCACTACAACGTACACGTCTATCAAATCACTACAACGTACACGTCTATCAAATCACTACAACGTACACGTCTATCAAATCACTACAACGTACACGTCTATCAAATCACTACAACGTACACGTCTATCAAATCACTACAACGTACACGTCTATCAAATCACTACAATGTACACTTTAAATATCTTACAATTTTTATATGTCATTTACATCTTAATAAAGCTGAAATTTTAAAAAGTGGACTGGGATGAACTGGATTGGGTTTTTCATCCCCCCGCCACCAAAGACGAGAAAACTATGTGATCCGTCCACGATGATGCTAAGGGACAGGAAAAGTAGCTTCAACAAAGAATGTATGAAGGCAGCAGTTGGAGAAAAATAAAATCATTCTATGATTGCTTCTCACTAAACTGAAACCATCACCAAACCACTCACACAGATGGGAAACAGGTCATGCCTCAGAAGCCTCTGGCTAAACCTCTTCTGCCCTTCTAATTGTGAGATTTAAGCACCTCAGGACTGCTGTTTGGTCAGTGCTAACAGAAATCTAGTGTTCCACCTTGAAACTGCCGGCTCTCCTAACCGCTGGTAAAAGAAACCTCAGAAAGACAAGGAGAAAATGTTTTCTCTTCCACAGCTGCAGAAAAGTACACGTCATTCTGTATTATAAAGTCCGTTCTTGAGAACAGTCATGAGATTCTCCATCTTAAGCTCCTGCTCAGGAATCCTGTGTTAAAACGTATATACTTGTTTCTATTATTCTAAACTGTCCTCAAAATATTTATACAGAGGAGTCTTTTAAGACACTTGAATTTTTTTTTAAGATTTTATTTTTCCTTTTTTCTCCCCAAAGCCCCCTGGTACATAGTTGTGTATTTTTAGTTGTGGGTCCCTCTGGTTGTGGCATGTGGGACGCTGCCTCAGTGTGGCCCAGTGAGTGGTGCCATGTCCACACCCAGGATCTGAACCAGCGAAACCCTGGGCCACAAAAGGGGAGCGTGCGAATTTAACCACTCGGCCACTGGGCTGGCCTAAGACACCTGAATTTAAGAGAGCATTCCTATGTTCTGTGAACTGTAACCCACCCCTCCCAGAAGTCTCCATTTCTGATTGGTTGTCCTGCTGAAGAATCTGTGTCCTAGTTGTAATATTTCAAGTGACATGTCTGTTTCCTGAAATATGTAAATACATAGGAGAGTTTTTTTAGCCAGAAAAAGAGCTTTGGAATTCCCTTCTCCCTTTATGTATAAAAGAATTATAAATCCCATGCTGTTGCTGGAGTCCTGCTTCAAATACAGCATCGAGAGCCTTGTCTCATGTAAGTCAGCACACAGGCGTGGTTAAGGCATTAAACTCTCCATCTCTCACAGCGCCTACTGGCCACCTCACCCTTGGCCATCATGAAGGGGAGGGCATACGGAACAGAAATGAACATCACTCATCAACACAACTTGATGAACTTCCGGAGTCAATGTTCACTGACTGTCTCTCGTGGGGCTGGCAGGGAGCCCACAAAGAGAACAAGACACAAACCCTCACAAGGAACCTGAGACTGCCCTAAAAGACACACAATCACTACACAACAGCATCAGTGCAGTGCCAGGGCCAGGACAGAAGGCTGTGGGTGTAGTGAGCAGAACGCCAGCAAGTGCCTGAACACTCAGAGCAGGTGTCACCTGGAGCTTCTACCTGAGCTGGGGCTCGAAGGATGCATAAGAACTTACTAGGTGAAAAAGGAGAGGGCAGAGCACCAATAAATGAAGAAAGGGGGACAGGTATTCCTTGACCATGACCAGAAGTTCCACATGATCAATTTGTTATTTGTAAAGATGACTCGGAGGGCAATGAGGAAGGCAAGACTGGAGTTAGAGGCACGAGATGGACAAGTCATCTAATAGAAACTGATGACATATCTCCTATGTGCTAGGTTCTGCCTAGAGGAGAATAAAGACAAGCAGGTGACAAGAAAACTGGTGACATGTGAAGTGCCACCCCAGGAAAGTTCAGAGGGCAGCTCGGAGCAGCATCTCCCCAGACTCAAGTAGCTTGGACTGCAGAAATCCAGCTGAAAAATACTTGGTGCAAGAAGGTAAAAGAGGTGATAGATTTAAAGGATGTTTAGGAGGTAGAACCACCTAGCCAATGCTGTCAGGACCCCACACACCCCTCACTGTTCCCATGCACCTTACAGCTTGCCACTGCAAGCATCTCTGAGTCTTCACCTGAAGACATTCGTGTTTGGCTCGCACAAGAGGCAGGCCAAGAAGCACCAGGGAGTCAACATCCTTGGGAGTGGACCTCAACCAACATCAGATGGAAGCTCGTGGATAAATGCTTGCCCCTTGAGTGGGACAACTCTGAGGAGTGCCTTACGCAGAGGACCCGGATGGACTGAGTCCCAACTACCCACTGTGGTAACCTGCTCATTAACGCACCTCGTACTGGCTCCCTTCCCTTCCCTTCCCTGTCTTACATCCTCATGCTCCTACCAGTGCTTCCTGAAATCGCCTCCCAAATAAATCGCTTGCACTCAAATCCTTGTCTCAGAGTCCACTTTTGAGGGAACCCAGCCTGAAACAAACAGAGAAAAAACTTAGCGAAAGATTAGATGCTGAAAATGAAGACCCCAGTATGAGGCTATGAGATTTCTAGTTTGGGAGACGCGGATCCCATGAACTGAGATAAAGACTCTTTAGGATGGGAAGAGGGATAGATTCGGGGAGAGCAGGATGAGTTTGGAAAGACTGAGCTTGTGTCAAAATTCCCTGAGTACAAGGTTAAGACTCTTGACTAGAAAAAGTGAAAAGAAACCAAGAAGAACGGGGACTACACGAGAGGAGAAACCACGAGAAATGAATGTCACCTCTCCCTAAAGGGCACTTACAGTATCTTCCTTTGACCCCAGAGAATACAAAGCCCTAGCTGTCCCTTCCAGCCGGTTTCTGTATTCCAGTTTCTCATAGTTGGAGGGACTCACTCCTTTAAAACCATACAGAACTCCCCACCAACAGCCGGCAATGGCAGCTGTAGAGTCACTGTCCCCACCGTGGAAGAAGGCTCGGTGGGCGAGCTCCTTCCAGGAGCCTCCTGCAGCCAGGATGGCATCGTAGGCAATCATGGGGGCGTCGTGTCCACTGCTGCCACCCCAGCCGGAGTAGCTCACGGAGGTGTAGAATTGATCCCTCTGCTTCACATCAAAGGGCTTGGGGAAGGTAGGGGCCGATGTGCCATCTAAAATCCCTCTAAGTTTTAGGTACTTTTCCCATTGGTCTTGGAAGTAGGACCTGTAGGAAAGAAAAGATCTACAGTTAATTGAAAAAATAAAGTCAAAAGCCATGAGGAAAGGTACCAGATGGACGTGTGAACATGGAAAATTCCAAGATGACTTCCACTCCTTGTACTAATATTGTAAACGATATAAAAAATCAAAATGAGTTCTAGCTAAGTAATATTCATTCAATAAATTTTTGCTAAGGATTGCTATAAATAAGGCATTGGTACCTGTTGCTAAATAAAACATATATCAAGTTAAAGGTGAGAAATAGAGGTTTGTTTTTCTTACATTGAGAACATGTTGTGTCAACTTTCAAGGGGGAATTTTATTTATTTATTTGGTCTGTCATTATAGTTTTTATTTTATTATTTATTCTATTTTCTTACTAAAAACTGTATATATTTCAGGTGTACCACATGATGATTTGATATATACACACGTAGTGAAATGATTACTACGGTCAAGCTAATTAACACCTCATCTCCTTACACAGTGACATTTTTTTTTTCAAGAGGGAACTTTGGAACATCATGACCATGGGTGATTTCAGCAGAAAGTCTCTGAACTTTTTTATTCTAAGAAAGGCAATGTGAAGTGAACTCACCAAAAAAGGGGAAGATGTGGCCTCACCACTTACTAATTAGCTGGTGGAAAAACCTCTCCCTCTCAGGCGTTCTAAGCAACGATTCAAAATATTATTTGTCTGTCAAGATGACATCAAAAAAAACAAGTTCCAGGAGATGAGCAGGAAAGTTCATCTCAGTAGAGGATGGCCACAAAAACTAAAGACAGTTGGAACACGGAACAGGATCCCTCTATGAGGGAAGCACTGCACTCCTCAGTGAGGTCTTGCTTGGCTCCTTGGTGGCAACCACAGATGGAAATGAACCTGAAATCCTTAGCAGGTGGGCAGGGATGGGGCTCAATGCAGTGGATGACAAAACTGGATGGTGAGAACCATGAAAAGAACTAGGATCTATGAATTCTGGGAAGATTCATGCATGCCCTTGCACACACAGAATCAACCATTTTCCAGCAGAAGCATGCCCCTACCCACTTACCAGTGTTGAAGGTTCTTCTCCACAAAGTAGCCGGATTGGATGATGTACTTTTTAGCTTCTGGAAGCACCTCCATCAGTCCTTTTCCCCATTGATAGGGAGGCTTGCCGCTCACAGCATAGGTTGTAAAAAGAGCAGACACGAGGGCTCCCAGGTAGCCTGTGGGGTGGTGGTGGGTCATCCGGCCACTCTCGATGCTCACCTGGATCAGTGTGCCCAGCTGGCTGCGGTGAGGGAACCGGAGACCGATGCACATGGCTCGCATGGCAGCCCCGCAGCCGCCCTCATGGCTGTTAAAGGGAATCCTCCAGCCATTGGCCTTGTCCGGCTCCAGCAGCATGGAGTTCTGCATTGAGGCATTCCCTGGGAAGAGTCGGTTAGGACATGGGGTCAGTGTAACCAAAGCAAAAGCCCCAGGAGGAGGAAAGAATCTAGCTCTGTCTGCAAGTTTTTTTGATGGAAAATGAAAGGCAAGAAAATATGATGATGAATGCCCCAAACTCTAAACCCCAAGCCAGTATTGTGCCTTACTTTATGCATAACCCTCAGCACGACAAGATTAATAATAAAAGAAGCAGACTCATATAGAGAGCTTGGAATCTTTACCAGTTATTACTGAGTCATCACAACAACTCAAAAAGGTCATATTATCTCTTTTTTAAATGAATAAGCTATGGCTCAGAGCTTAAGAACCTTGCTCAAAATCACGTAACCCGCTAGTTAATGGCCCTGTCAAAACCATCAGATTTCCAGCCCAAGCCCTTAAATAACCCAATGAGAACCTGACGACTGGAGTTCCTGGGTGTCAGAAAGACGCCACAGGCTCGAGTGAAGAATCCGGCGCACAGGAGGAGCAGTGGGTTCAGGGCGACAATGTGCCCTTGGGTGATCTTGGTTTTCCCCGACGTGAGAGCAGGCTTGTCCTATCCCCCCATCCTACAGGGAACCGTGAATGCACACATGAGCCAGGCTGTGGCAGTTAACATACTATGGGGTGTAGTATTATTGTTCCCTTATGGTCGGTTTATTCACAAAAACATCACGGATGGCATAGTTGGACAAAGAAAACTTTCCTCTCGCCAAACTGATGAGATACCAGATGTTGAGAAAGGATGAACAGAGACTGGCTTCTAAGGCCAATCCTGGGGGACCCCAGAGACCCCTGGGTGTGTGTGGCGGGGAGCCTTTCAGCAGGAGGTGTTATCAGCTGAATTTGTGTCCTCCAAAATTCATGTGTTGAAGCGCTGACCCCTCGTTCTTTGGAATGTGACTGTATTTGGAGACAGGGCCTTGAAAAAGGGGACGAAGTTAAAATGAGATTGTTAGGGTGGGCCCTAATTCAACCTGACCGGCATCCTAATAAGAAGAGGAAATTTGGACACACAAAGAGACAGCAAGGACGTGTGCTGTGAGAGGACACAGCCAGGAGGTTGTCTGCAAGGCAAAGAGAAGGGCATCTCTCAAAGGAAGCCAAACCTGCCAACATGTGGATCCAGACTTCCAGCCTCCCAGCCAGTGAGAAAATAGATGTCTGTTGTTTCAGCCACTGGTCTGTGGAACTTTGTCATGGCAGCTCAAGCCGACCAATACAGGGGGAGAGGCAGGGCCGATGGGCTAGGGGACAGGTGATTCAAGTCACCTGGGAGCCCCAGTGGCTGTAACAAGTTCCCAAAGTGAGCAAGAACCACTTGTGAGCAGACCTGGAACCAGAAAAGCAGTCGCTACGAGACCCTTTCCATTCCTCTTTAACAGAATTTTCTTTTCCTTATGGTTGTTTATTACAGAAAACTTAGAAAATACAAATATGCAAAAGAAAATAAGAAACTATATATACCTTCCTCACCGAGATTTAATCCTTCTTTGTGTACATTCTTCCGGCCTCTCCCAGCAGAGATACACACGCATACACTTTCAGTGATGACGGGTTCATAAGATACATACTGTTTTGTAACCTACTTTCTTTTTTTGCTTGATATGTAATATCTTTCTATATCAGCACATATTTATCTGCATAATTTTCAATGGCTGCGATGTGTCACCATAATGAAATAAATTACATAAAATTTAGGTTATTTCTATTTTTATCACAACTACAAAAACGATTGCTTCCTTGATATTATATCGCAACCAACACTTTTAACGACTTCCTTGGGTCTGCTTTATTCTCCGCCTGCCCAGGACCTCCACCGCCGCTCACCTGGCGCCCGGCCAGCCATGTCTCCCATGCAGTCTTGGTAATGCTTAGCGAGGAGGGAATACAGTCGAGTCAAGTCCGAGACCTTCCCGGCTTCCACGAGAGCTTCCGCCGTGGCCAGGTGCATCACCGTGTCATCGCTGACTCGCCAAGTCTCCACATCTATGGCGTCCAAGCCACCCAGCTGGGCCAGCTGCCAATGAATCTTCTCCCCATCCCGGAGGAACTCCCACTTGCCGTTGAAGTACCCCAAGGCATCGCCAGCAGCACTCAGCACCATGGCAGCCACATACTTCTCAATCAGTCCCTCACACATGGTGAAGCTGTGGCGGGGTGGGGGGTGGGAGGGGCGGGGGGAGGGAGGATTAAGACACACAGATGAGAAGAAAGAAGAATCAGAAAACGGAATAGCCCTATCAGTATTTTATTGAGGACTCACTACTTGTCGGGCCACTATTAACTGCATCTCATTTAATCTTCACAGCTGCTCTACGAGGAACGTATGATGAGGCCCATTTGACAGATGAGTAAATTGAGGATCACAGAGATAATGCAGTTTCAGAAATGTTAGGTCACTGGTCTTAGGTCACAGAGCTAATAAGTGGCAGGGCTGGGGTTGCAACCTAGGTCCATCTGACTCCAAAGCCCACGATTCTAACTATGAGTCCATCTTTTCCTCCCTGTGAGTGGCAAGCCCATTAAATTCTACAAATCAAACCAACCAAGCTTGTCATTTCCCTTTTTACTCGGGATTTGTCCTCGAAAGTGCGCCCCTCCTTTTCTTGAATAATAGTCCTTTCTATTGGTATCACAATGCACGCTTCACAAGGCTCCCGCACATTCTCTGTCTCATTAGTAGGCAGGGATCACAGCAGGCATTTCATAGCTAAGGAAAGGGAGGCTTAGAGAGCGTAACTTCACACAACTAGCAAGTGGAGGCCCCAGATCCAATCTTCTGATCACAGGCCACTCTGCACAGACCTAGAACCTTGGACAACCTCTTTGTGCTCAGCCTCCACATCTGTAAAATGATAACAAAAATAGTACCAGCCCTATGGGGAGTAAATGAATGAATTTTTTTTTTTTTTCTGGTGAGGATGATTGGCCCTGAGCTAACATCTGTTGCCAATCTTCCTTTTTTTTTTCCTCCCCAAAGCCCCAGCACACAGTTGTATATTCTAGATGTAAATCATTCTAATTCTTCTCTGTGGGATGCCCCCACAGCATGGCTTGCTGAGCAGGTGTGTAGGTTCACCCCAGGATCCAAACTAGGAGAACCCCAGGGCTACAGCAGAGTGCAAACTTAACCACTCTGCCAGGGGGCCGCCCTGTGAATGAATTTTTGTAAAGCACTTAGAACAGTGCTTAGCACATAGTAAGCACTATGTTTATTGTTTTTATTCTTCTTACACACCCAGGGAACACGATTTTTCCATTGAACTACAATACGTTCTCCTCACAAGCTTCCTTTCAACAGCAATATTTAAATTTTGTTTTCCTCCTAAATGACTGACTTCTAGAGTCTGGGGATCTCAGCTAACATTCCCTCGGTGAATCTAGTCCCTGGCAGAGCGCTGGCTGCCCTGTGGTGCATTTCCAGTTTCTCACTGCGCCCTATGCTGCAGAGCTGACGGTCAGAGCCCCCCACGTCTGCCCCTACTCTGTCCATCCACTCCACCTGCACAGGCCACGCAAACACTTTACACGCCTGCGGATGAGCTCCTTCTCCCCTCAGCTCGGGCTCTTTCCCCAGTCAAGACGCCCTTCCTCCCTCCATTTACCTAAACCCTGTTGCCTCAGGGGTAAGTTCAAGTCCTAGGGCTTCCGGGAGTCCTCCTCCAGCCGCACTGCTCTGGGCACGGGGACGCAGCGGGCAGCGCCTGGAGAAGTGCAAATGAAGATGGATTGAGCACACCGATACCGAGTTATTGATCATGCTGAGTTTCTTGGCTCACAAAGGATATTTGTAAAATGTTATTTACATATTTTATCATTTATAAATGATGCCTAGGAACTGGAGTTCTGGGCTACTAGACCTGACTCTGCCGAGAATCAGTTGTGTGATTGTAGACAAGCCACCCACCCCGACCTCGATTTTCCCATCTGTCAATTGGCGGCGTGAAGTGGGGGGGAGTGCTGTGGATGCTCCCTGGGCTACGGTCCTGCGCCGAGAGCTTCAGAGACCGAGCTTAGCCGGCTTCTGAGGACCAACTTTTAACCCCCGGTGCGGGACCCTCTCTCCCAACGTCCTCAGCTTCCTTTCTGTGGCTCCCTCTGGCTCCATCCGCACGTGTGTTTCTGTGAGTGGTAAGCAGGGCTGGGGGACGACGACCATCTCTTGCCGTTGGAATTGTGACTTTTACGCGTACTGCTCTAGCCTCCCGCTTTCAGAACGCTGCTAGTCCTGAAACGCCTCTGAACTTCTACAGTTTACATTCTCGCTCCCGAACGACAAATTCAAAACTAATGTCTGGGCAGCTGCTTCCCGGCAGTCGTCTGCTTTTGAGGCGGGGAGTCGGGGGAACGCCTGGCTCGGGCGTGGGGGGTGGGTGTTGGGCACCTGGCCACCGCCGGGGAGGAGCGCGCGGGGGCCGCGGGCCGGGGTGCACCCGGTCGCCGGGGTTGGCGCGGAGAGCGCGCGCGGGGTACAGGGCCCGGGAGGAGAGGGGTGGGGAAGGGGAGCGCGCGGGACTCGGGGAGGACGGCGGGGGGAGTACCTGGTGGCCAGGGGAGTGGAGCGCGCGCGGGGCAGGGGCGGGGCCGGGCGCCGGGAGCTCGGGGTGCAGGGAGCGGCCTGGCTGCAGTCGCTGCGCGGAGGCTCAGGGCGGATCCGTCTGCGAGCGGAGCGCGTGGGGCCAGGGCGGGGCCGCGCCGCCGCGCGCGGGCTCCGCGCCCAGGATCGGCGGACATTTGCTCCCGCCTGCCGCCTTCCGCCGGGCCAGCCTGGGCTTGATTGAGCGAGCCGCGGGCCCTCGAAAGCGGCTTCCCGGCACCGCTGCGGCCTTGGGCGCCCTAGCTGGGGCGCCGGGGCCTCCATCACCCGCCACCTGGGCCCGGGAGGGCGCTGGGAATCGCCTGGAGTCGCGGAAAGCCGCGGCTCCGGGAACCTGGCTCTCATTTTACTGTCGGCGACGCCCGTGTGGCCCCCGGCTGACACCGTGGGCTTTTTCTCATGCCTAGCTTTTCTGGGTTGCAAAGAACCAGTGTGTGGCCGAACACTTGCAAAAGGGTACTAAGTGCGAGGCCTCCGTCGGGGGTCTGGGTCCTTCCCGCATGAAATGGAACAATACTATTCCTAACTCTTAGGGTGGTTGTAAGGCCTAAGTTAATTTTAACTCGTCATTTATTAGGCGGCAGTATGGAATTTTTGCGTCCTGATAGTAAATAAAAGCAAAGAAAAACTAAGAATATTTTTGTCTGGATAAATTAATAATGACACTTTTAAAAAGAATTAGAAGCACCATATGTAAGTATTCTATACGCCTCTCCAAAATTTCAATCTGCTATGCTTTTCTGGCTGTAATGACGTAGACTTGGCCTGAGACCTTTTTTGTTGTTGTTGTTGAGATATAATATACATGTAATGAAATGCATTCATTTTGTGTGCTGTTCGATGAATTTTGACAAATGTATATACCTGGGTAACCGTAATCAGGATACAGAATATTGCCGTTACTCCAAAACATTGCCTTGTGCTCTTGCCCAATCCCGCACCTCCATCTCCAACCCTAGCCTAGGTGACTTCTGAGTGTTCACAAAAATCAAAGGCACTGTTCGAATTTTACCCTCGGAGGATGTAGTCAAAGAAAGTTCTGTAGTGAGGGACGTTTTTAGTAATAAACAGGCCTATGAAACTCATCCCTGGCTCAGCTTAAGATGTCTGTTGAAGATATTCTTCATATCACATAGGGCTCTTTCTGTGGGAATCCATGGGAAAGGCGTTCCTTTGGCTTGAATGTCAAGAATCCCGGGGTTGTTCTTAGCCATTAGTTCACTTTCACTTCATGGTGCCTGGGAACCTTGCTATTATTAGCATAGACTCCCCTCATGCTACCTCGTTTCAAACCCCAGCAATAGCACTTTGGGAAAGTCACTTCATCTTACTAAGTTTCACTTTCTACTTTTGTAAAATAGGGAAATCTTTGCACCCACCTCATCACGTTGTTCTGAGGGGGTTGCATGGAATAATTAATGTAAAAATTTTAGCACTCTGCTTATCAGTGTAGTAATCATGCAATAAAAAATTACTCCCAAGTCAGCTGCCTGTCTGTATCCCCAGTGCTCACCTCTGTCACGTAGAGCCATTCTACCCTCTTTTCACAATAGTTAATGCCTACGGACATCGTTTCTCCTTGGTCAAAAACTAGAAAATGTTTCTGGGACATCAAGGACATGGTCGTGCAAATCAAAAAAACAATTGATCAGTTAGCATGCTTCCAGCTCCAAGTAACTGCATATAACCATCATACCCCCCCATACCAACACCCACATACTCACCAGGCTTAAACAATAAGCACACATTATCTTATACAACAAAATGTCCAGACATGTCCAGATTACCTTATAAAACAAAATATCTTATATAACAAAAGTCCCCAGGTTAATTCAGCAACTCAACACTATATCAAGGACTTGGTTCCTCCCATCTTTCTCGTCTACTCTTGTCAGTGTGTTAGTTTTATCTGCAGAAATTATTCTCAAAGCTTTCCCTGCCCCCATCCCCAGCTGCACCCCAGAAGAGTAAACCAAGAGTAAACCAGTAAACTACTGGCAGGCAAATGAGATTACGTCTCCCTTTGATCAAGGATAGAACATCTTCCCGCAGAGGTGGAGACTTACACAAAAATCAAGGTTTTGTTTACAAAGAAAAGAGTGCATCTTGTTCTGCCAAGAAGAACAGATATTTATCTGGCATTTTACTGGGTGCTAGGTATTAGTGTAGATGCTGGAAAGACAGAGATGTTGAAGGCTGAGTTCCCCGTCTCCAGTTTTATGATGGAGGACACATCTCAGGCATTCACTTCGTTACTCACCAACACCTATCATTTGCCACATTGAGGCTCTTGCTGAGAAACAAACTTGTAGGACTCAGACCTGACCTCTGAGACATTTCCAGCACTTCATCTGTAAGGTGGAAATGATGATACTTCCCTTACAGAATTGTTATGACATCCAGGAATGATCTTTATGTATGCCGCAGACATTAAACACCTACTGTGTACCAGGTATATGCTGGGCCCTGACACAAGACCTGACCTCAGAGAGTGGACCGAGCCAAGTCATCTCATTTTAGGCTTTTGACTTATGATATTAAAAAAATTTTTTTAAATAAAATGTTTATGTATTTTTTTGATGATAAAAATAATGCATACTTCCAGTAGAAATCCTGGGAAAGCTTCTAGGAATCTCTCTCCTAAAGAAATATCCACACATGTTCACAAAAGTAAATGTTCCTGGATGTTCTTTGCAGAATTTTTTCTAATAGCAGAAAATTGGAAATGACCTCAATATGTTTTTACAGGAGAGTATGAATTTCCTTCTCCTCAATTATGGCATAATTATGGAACTGTTCCAAACCATGAGGTAGACCTTTAAATCAGTAGACTTTGAGTAAATAAACAAGTGTGCCTGGAAAGAGCTTGGAGACATTTTGTGAAGTAAAAACCCTCAAATTTTAGAATGAGGAATATATATGGGCTTATTTATGTAAAAAAAAAAAAAAAAGAGGAGCTGTGTGTGTGTGTGTGTGTGTGTGTGTGTGTGTGTGTAAAATGGCTGAAAGGATACATTTCAAATTGTTAATGATGATTATGATTACCTCACGGGATAATGAGAAAGTTCGCTGGGAGTAGGGAGAAGGATAAGGGGAAACTTTTAATCTTTCACAATAAGTAGTTTTATATATTATGTGTATTAAGAAATTTTAGAAAACCTAAAGTAGAAACCACCCACGTTCCTATACTCCGATTACAGTTTTTATTTTATGCACGTGTTTTGGAAAAAACCGGGTCATTTGTACATAGAATTTTATATCCTTTTTTTTAACCACTAAGCTTTACATTGTAAACATTTCAGTCATTTGTAGTAGTATTATTACTATAATTGATCCCAAATGTTCAGATAAGGTAACGCCTCTGTAATAAACTCCCTTTCATGTTGATACAAAGAAATATGAGGCCTGCTTGCTCAGTTGCTTTCTGAGCTCTCCATGGCCAAGGTTGGTGCAAGGCCAGGAAAACATAAGCATAGATAATTGAAAAACAGCAGACTAGTTGAATCTTTGCCATTTCGTGGGCCCAAATGTGTGATACTTTGTCTAGTTAAATCATGAGAACTAAAAAAAAAGAGAGCTAACAGGAAATGGTTAATAGGCAGGGCCCCTTGAACTCTCTAGCAGACACAAAATAACAAAAATACTCAAAGGAAAACATACCACAGGATAGGACCTCAATGTACATTTTTAAAATAAAGTGAAAAAAAAAAGAAGTAGAGACTTCTTAGAAGAAAACAGAAGAGAGCTAGTGCAGGAGAGGTAGGAAGCCCGATGTGGCAGTTCACACGTCCTGTATCATCAGTTCATCTCAGAAGACTTAGTGGGCATCTGTGATGGTTAATTTTACGTGTCAACTTGGCTAGGCAAGACTACCCAGATAATTGGTCAAACATTTTCCTATATGTTTCTGGGAAGGTATTTTTTAGATGAGATTAATGTTGAAATCCGTGGACGTTGAGGAAAGCCAATTATCTTTCTTAGTGTTAAGTGGACCTTACCCATTCAGCTAAAGGCCTTAATAGAAGAAAGACCGACCTCCCACTCTACCCTACCCACCCCCGGCCAGGGAAGAAGGAATTCTGCCAGCAGACGGCCTTCAGCTTGGAGCTGCAGCATTAACTCTTACCTAGGTCTCCAGCCTGTTGGCCTACCTTGCAGATTTTGGACTTGCCAACCTCCACAATCGTGTGAACCATTTCCTTAAGATAAACCTCTCTCTCTCTCTCCATATGTACATATTAGTTCTGTTTCTCTGGAGACCCCTGACTAATACAACATATAAAATGTGCCAGGCACCTTGCTAGGCACCCCTTGCAGTTACAGAGGGAAGGCAAAAGTCACAGTAACAGGGGAGACTTCGGAGGGTCTAATGACATTAGGCCCTGAGGACTGTGGCAGGGAGAACGTTCAAGAGACAAGGTCGGCAAATGTGAGAGAGAAGGCTTAGTCAGAGTGTTCAGAGAAGGCATCCAGAGAAAATTACATCTGGGCTGATTTTTCAAGAGTATTAGGAAGACAAACTAAAATTGCCAGAAGCCCAGAAATAACCCAAACAGCTAGCATGCAGGAGAAGCAAAGATCTTTAAAACATAAAAGCAAAGATGTGAGGTTAGGTTGGTGTTTCCTCCCCGAATGATGCACAGCTGCTGGGGCCCACCTCAGTGCTGAGGCGCGAGCTACTCACCAGTCGAGCCTGCTTAGAGTTGTGAGAGTGGTCACCATCTTAAGCTGTCTCCTTTCCTTCCTTATTGAGTCATTCCAAACACATCACCCATGAGATTGAGTACCAGATTTGCACAATGGAAATCAACTATCCTCCTTGAGGATTTTAAGGAAGACAAGGAAAAAGGACTAGAAGTTCAACTCATTGAGGAAAACAGGCTCTCTGGCCACTCGTCCCAAGGTAATTTAAAAAAAATAGAAAACGCATGTGCATAAGAGCAAAGTTTAAATCATCAAATAGCCTCGAAGGGGATATTTGCACAGCTTGTCACTTTATAGTGAGGAAACTAAGGGCCAGTGAGGTGAAGAGAGTCACTCAGGGTCACAGAAGCAGAGAGAAGTGGGCCCGGAGCCGACGGTCTCTGACCTCTCAGTCCAGGACTTCTGCCACTCTCTGTACTGCCATTTAGACAAAATTTGAAAAGATGCAATAGACTAAACTTCGATTTCATTAAAGTTATGAACCTCCTGAGCCCGATTTTTAACATAGTCCACTTCCCCCCAAAAGAGGCCTCCGCTTGATCACAGTATGAAAGTAGTATTTAAAGAGAAATCTAAGATGTATACTGTAATTCTAATAAGAAGGCAGTAATCACATACAGTAGGCTGTGGTGACGGGGACACCGCCTGGAGAGATGCGAAGGAGATTAAGTGGATACAAATTGGCGTTTGAAAAGCCAGCGGTGGCTTCTAAACCTTTGATCTGGAGATCCACCAGGAGATTTTGAAACCTT